AAAAAATAACATTATAACTAAAAAAAGCACTCAGTTATGTAACCATTCTGCTCTGTACAGTAGGTGTCGAGTATACCTCGTCATTGAATAGATTAAATAGATTAAGTATAGATAAATTGTGTAGGTCACTGTAATGAATAATTTAAACTTGAATTCAATTATATACCTATTGTTGTATATAATAAAAAATCTAAGCAAAAATTATCTAAATTTTTGGTAACTAAGGTTACCGAAAGTTGAAAATTTCAACCTCTCAAAAGTACCAAATATATATGCAAATTACTATCAGAAATGTCCCTTTAAGTTTTTAATTGAAACATTATTCTACCATAAAAGCACAATATAAACACATCATTGTAAAATCAATATGTAAATTTTTCGCTTCGCGTAGATTTTAAAATAAGTAAAAAATAAATATAAAATAAAAATAGAATAAAAGGACAAACAATTCCATAAGTGCCTATACCTACAAGAATAATATAACATACATATATATATATATATATATATATATATATATATACCATTAAAAACCAATTTGATGTAATATATAACATGTACATAGTATGTACAGAGTATTGTGTATACTGTTATAGTGTGTATATTAACATAAAATTATGAGAATAATAACTAAAAGTGAATCAGCATTATGGTTTCCAAGTCAACTTCACATTTCTCTTATAACATAAACAATTTTTTTTTAATTTAATTCTTTATTTATTCTTTATGTAAGTCGTATTTATAACAATAATGCCCATAACGTAATTTTATATTATAACGATAGTGCCAAATAACGAGACGTGGATCAATTACACTATCAGCTAAAATATTTTATTCATTTGGGAAAATACGACAAACTACAGATTACGGCACGAGTACGTTGAAAATCACCCGTATACAATTTAAGTACGTACAAAACAGTTTCATAAGTTAAATATTTTTTCTATCATAAATGAAAATCCTAGGCAGCGAGTCCTTCGTTGGACATTGCGTAATAGATTACGTAGATAAATCTTTTTAAATATATTACATAATTAGGTTACATTTTAGATTCTGAACGAAGCAATAAATGATATATTTTGATATGTTACTACACATTTTTTTTTAAATAGAAAGTTTAAAAATTACTGACTATACTTTAGTTAAAATTTGAGAAAAATTTAAAAAAATAAGGAAAATTGGAATTTTTACACAAAATCAATTTTTGCTGAAAACAGATGATTTTTTTTTTTTGTTTTTGTAACTCACAAATAAATAATTGTAGATAATTGGAATTTCATTAAATATTTTTATTTTTTTTTTTTTTAGTATTTTATAGACATGCAATAGTTTCCAAAATATTTTAGCTTATTTGTAACTATTTATATATGTAAACATCATCATTTATTTCTTTTCCACAAATATTAATAAAAAATATTGTGCTTAAACAAAAAAGGGGGAAATAAAATAACCACGCCACTGGACAGTAGGTTTTGAGTGTACCTCGAGTCCTCGACATTGAATAAGTCGCTATAATGTATTTTTATAAAATACATTTAAAAGAATTTTTTTTCTATTGGTTACAGTATGAATTATTTTTGAGAATTATATACAATTTTAAAATCTTAGGTAAGAATTATAATAATGTTATGAATTTTTAACTAGAAAATAATTTTCAAATTTTCATAAAATTCGTCAATATTCTAGCTTTAAACGCTCATAAGATAGGTATAATGTGTATATTATCTATTTATTTTCAATATTAACTGGTATAATAACAGTTTATAATGAACCTTGATTTAAATTTTCAAGGTTTTAATTGAACAAAACAATTTATATCGTCACCTTTAAAAAAAAAAATCAAAAATGTCTATGGATGACTCAAAAAAAGTATAAATGTTTTGAAAATATTATTGTGTATATTAAATTTTAATAAACTATTATAAATATTTAGTAAAAATTTCTAGAGTCTACAATTATTTGTTATTGAGTTAGATAGGTAAATCAAAAAAAAAAAAAAAAAAATCGACTTTTTATTTTTAACCCTTCAATAAAATTTAATAGATCCAATTTGCTAATAGAAATTACTCTTAAAGTGAAAAATTGTATTATGTTTGTTTCAAAAAACGATGAAAAGCAGAAAATAATATATCATTGTTAAATAAATACATTCATTGTTTTTCTCAGAATCTAAGATTTAAAATATAATACAAGGTTCCTTATAATTCATAACTTATAAGTTATACATAATATAATGATTGTTCTAAGCTTAAATTTCAAAATTTTGTTTATTATCAATCATCATATGGTTAAAAATGTATACAATTTTTAATTTTAATAGCTGACGATTGAAAATTGAATAGGTACTTAAAAAGTTCTCATAAGTTGTTAATATAGTAAAACTTGTAATTAACTTTTGTTTAAATTGTGATACATTTTATGTAATTTTATTATATAATTTAATGTATTTTGACGTTAAACTAGTGATATTGATTTTATGAAGAGTCTATATGACAGGGATGGCAAACCTTTTGGTAACTACGTGTCAAATCTAAATTTTTAGTTTGATTTTATTTGCCTCAAGTGTCAGAAACTTTTCAAACTTTTTTGTTGCTTAAATAATAATAATATTAACAGGATTTTATTTGCTGTTAGATTTAAACTTTTTAGTATTTACTATTTATTATTACATATTAATATAGGTAATAAAAGAAATGTGTTGCTGCATTTTTCCAGCTAACGATCAATCCTAGGATTATAATTTCTTTGGAAAGTGAAGTAAAAATTATGAATTACATTTAAATTGACGTGTCACTGAAATAATGTGCGTGTATCACACGCGTGACATAGGTTTGCCATCCCTGCTATATGAGGTACATGCGTGAGGCACATATTCGTTACAATTTGATAGATTTAGGTTCAGCGATTTTCAAAAAATCGGGACAGAGAGAGCAAGCGCCTATATTAATCTCAGAGGAATAGAAAAATATAAATTCTCATTGGACTGATTTTCAGATCTAGAGTTTTATTTAAACAAATCATATTTTGTAGATATACATAAAAAACATATTTTTTATCATAAAAGTAACAATACCCAAGTCCATTGTGTGGCCATATAGGTGTAAATTATTTATTTCAATTTTTGTGGTCTACGCAATCTGACAAGACGCACATCGTATACCTGTTACATCGCTGTTGTTGTATTACACAAATACTCGCACACACATAGTATATATGCATAATACACATACATATAGGTTGGGAGTATACCTATGTGCGCGTATACAATACGTATTCAAGCGTGATGGCTAGTGGGAAATCTCCTGGCGTCGAAACCACATTTATGTCTAACCTTTGCTGGAGCGTGACGTCGTACAAAGTGTCATTTATTGTTTTTTTACGTTCAAGGTGGAGGTGGAGGTAGAGGAAAAGGTTATTACTATCTCTCCGAAAAATGGCGGTTTTTCCATGTACAGAATAATAATAATAATAATAATTGTATTTGTGGTTTCTATTTACATCCATGTATGATATTACAAATATATATATATATATATATATATATACTATCTGCCGTGCCATATCCCTCGCTTCCCCTGTCATTTCTCCCGCGGTACCGACGACCATGGTTCACCGCAAAGTTCCGTTCTTCGATATAACAATAATAATATAATAGTCCGTCGGCCGTGGATACATATAGCTATTATAATGTTGTGTAGTGTTGGCTCCAACGTTTCCTGATAGTGGTTTACAAAAAAATAATATTATATATGTATAACTCACACACACATACACACACACACACACACACATATATATAGTATTAATCTCAATAATATAGATAGTTTTGTAACGCGTATTTTTACTACAATATTTACTGTGGAATATGAATTTCGTCTGCACAATTATTTATAATTTCTGACAAATATTCTTAAGAAATTTGATACAAAGTAATATAGTAAACCTGCTAACCTGATACTCATTAACCATAATAAGTACTATAAAGTAATTATTAATTGAAAAGAGCGACGTGAAGTGAATTGAGAATATTCGATTTGTTGATAAAATGGCTTTTCCAATTTAGTATATTTATATTGTATTATAAAAAGCGTGATTTAATGAGTATACCCACCCTTGCTTTTTCTTTAATAGTGTATTTATTCAAATTCATATTTTTAAAAATTGTAAATTTATATTCAAAGACTATATTTCCAAGAACTTGTTATCATATTTAAGGAGTACGTTGCTCCTATAGTCTTTTACGGTCAATTAATACAACAAATGATTTTTTTTTTTTTTAATTTCCCCACGTCTCATTTAAAATGAAAACGTACATATATCTAACTTATTTAATTTTATGTAGGATTAAAGTTCTTATATTATAATATAAGTATTACTAATATTTATTACAGAAATAAAATCCCATTTATAATATATTAGTGTATAACTTATATAATTTAGTATAATATATAATATTTTGCATAGCTTAACCACTCAAACGATATTACACATTTATATAAATTGCAATATTATTATTAATTACCTAACTTTCAAATCATCATAGTCCTCATAATATCCTCTTAGACCTATTATAGATATGGAATATCTTTAATACTTTCAGATTATCCTTATGTTATCCACATGATATTTAATAACTCAAAATAATTCGACTTATACATAAGTATCAACATTTTCAAAAATTATCTGTCAAACGATTTACAGTAAAAAGATAATAAAATTATCATTTAAAAAATGAAGTTTTTATCACCACATGGAGTTACTTAAATAACATAAACATTTTAATTATTTAAAAATATAACTTTTAAGTATTCTATTTAAAAATTGCGATAATTAGAATTTAAATAAATGCCTAATTGAAGGGAAATATGAGAGTGAGCACGCTTGGTGAATAACTCTGTTTTACTGTATCTGTATGAAGATACGATTGGATTAATATTTTTGATGATATACAATTAATTAAAATTATTTTCCATTACTTTATACCATGGAAACTTAAAGAAATGGCGAAGAACACTAAGGAATGTTTTAAATTTGACCGAACTGATCGATTACGCAGAACTATATTCCTCGAAGACTCTTCTGAAGACGAATTGTTTGAATTCAATGACAAAACAAAAATAAGTAATAATTCAATATATTTTTAAAAATTAAACGAATATTGCATACATTTATGTTACTTAAATTATTTTCTAATATTTCTGTACCTATAATTATAATGCAGTATTAATAATAGTTAAAGTAGTATTAAGCTTAATCCAATAGAGATATAAATCTTAACTAATTTCAACAGTACACAAGCCCAGATTAAGGAGGGGGGCAGGAGGGGCCAAGTCCCCGGGGCCCACGTGTGTTAAAGGCCCATAGTTTACTCAGTTTAAAATTACATTAAGTAATAATTTGTACTTTTTATAGTACTTACATTAGTATCTACAAAAATATTTTTATTTTTTTCTTGTTTGAGCTAACAGTCGATGGGCCCCATCGACCGTGTTTACCACCAATAGTATGGTAAGTGGGGAAACATAGCGTCATAGCCAGGTTTGTGTTTGTTGGGAATAGGCATATATTTTGATATTACTGTATTTAAAAGTAGAATTGGGAAAATTTGTTTATGTGACTGTCTCGGTCATGGATACTCATAATTCAGATACCTACCGACTAAACCTGTTTACATAAACAAAACTTAATTTTATGTGTAAATATATATTTTAATAAAAATATAATATTTTTTTAATATTTTTATCCTCATCAATCGTTATCATACTTAAATAAAAATTTTTAAATTTGTTTTATTGTATAATTTTATAATTTTAAAGAATTGTTTTTATTGACGGGGGCCCACAACCATGTATTGGCCCCTGGACCCCTGAAGCTCTTGATCCGGGCTTGACAGTACACTCTGCATTTGTAAAAGCACAATTTAAAACGACACTATAGAGATAGGTATATATTATATTGAAGCTTATTTATTCAATAATAGTATAGTCAAGCTTTAGTTATCTTACTTTATCTTTATAAATGTATTATTGTACGTTCAGGAGAGGATAATTGGAATAAACCACCTACCAGTTTAATAAAACCAAAACCAAAAACCAACACTGGAGGCCATGCTGATTCCTTACCTACATCTATAAAATCAGTAAAAATTATTAGAAAAAGAAAACCATTAGCTGATCGTTTGACCACAGTTAAAGCGTCTAACATGAAATCGAAAGAAGTGGAACCAAATATTACTAAAGTCGAAAATAAACAATTGGTCAATAAAGCGACAACAAACATCAAAAGACAATTATAAATTTAATTTAACCATATGAAAAAAAAATAATAATAAAGTGGATATGAAATATGATAGTACAACCAATATTAAGTTATTACAAAACCGTTATTATTATTACAATATATACTATGTATATGAGATAACAAGGTTTTATAAGAATTTTTGTCAATTATAGGTAAGTGATATTTACTTACCTATATTATGTCTTAATCGAAATTAAATAATAACTTCAAATTTGAAAAAGTAAAGTTTGATACAACATTATATAATATATTATTAATTTGAAATTACAGTTTAGAATTTAATTTTAAATTCAAAAATCAAAAAAATTTAATTTAATCATCATATTTCTGCCTAAATTGTACATACAATTTACTGAACATTGGTTAAGCAAAAAAAAAAAAAAAAGAAACAAAAACGATAAAAAATATTTGTATAAATATATAGTATTATATTTTATATGGCAACCCGCGGTAGTGTTATGTATAGATATAAGATTAATAATTTATGTCACGGGACCGTATACGACGATAACAATACAAGCTGCTTGAATTCTATTATCCCTTTATGTATTAACAATATTATATCACATTATACTATTAGGTAAAGATTGCCTCCTCTATACATAATTCAGAAGCTGTGTAGGATAACGTGAATTTAAAGGTTTAAGGATGCGAGTTCGAGGGCGTGTGAACCACCTCGGAGACATAATACATATGTATTATGATTATTATTATTATTATTTTTTAAATATAAAAAGACGTTCTTGACACGGGTATGTAAGTACTGATATGTGTTTACGAAAAATCGGATTAGGCGCAACAATGTCAAAGGCCACTTCATTTCAATACTCTCCGGTTCGCCCGAAGCACACATATATTAAACTAATCTTCTTACGGAAGAAAAAACATATACATCCTATTGTTGTAAGACGACGACGACAAAAATGCATTTTTTAAAGATCGTTTTGACCTGTTTTTTTTTCTCATTACATTTCTCTTCCCGTAGTATATATTACACAACTTCGTTTAAAAAGGACCTATTGTCCGCCCTCTTTATACATTATAATCAAAACAGATAATGCGACATTTAGAGATATTTTTAAATGGATTACTACATTACACAATTTTTTTAGAAAAAAAAAATAATAATACATGAGTAGGTATTGAGTATAATATTATAAAACATAATACGGCATGCTATTTCGATACGATAATAATATATAATAATTTATTATTTTATTTTATGTAGCAATACGGAACGTTCCCTGCAATTTAATACAATATTAAAATATATAATAAATATTGTTTGTACAAAATAATTTAAAGTAGAGTTGATTGGTCCTTAATGGTTCATCATTCGGTAATTTTTACCGAATTTATTTCGATTATTTATTTATTTGTTCCGATTTATTTTAAACACCAGATAATTCATTCCGCAGCTGCCTTGCAGTAAAGTTATCGTGTTTCCTCATGGTTTCATATCACAGATTTTTAGAACCACTTGCATGTACAATTAAATGCCTAATCAAATTTAGAATACAATAAGCATAATAATATTTACAGCCACCAAAAAATTCTTCAGAACAAATGAAATATTATTTGCTTCATAAAATAAAGATAAGGCCAATAATAGTATTTTTTTAATTATCAAAAAAATACATTTAAAAATAATTAAATATTTATTTTTATTCCAAAAGTCTGTCAAAAATATAAAGAATCCTAAGAAACATGCTTCATCTCACCTGTATTATTCTGCACTACAATCTACATTTATTGTGATAATTTAACTGTAAAAGAGATATAAGTCTACACATAGTACTTGTATTCAAAGACGTACTTAAAATGGTGACACCCAAATATAAAGTGGCCATAAGTGAAGTTTTGATGTCAAATTTATTATTTCATCTTTAAAAAAACTACGTTACTAGTTACTTTTTCACATATAAAATTTAAAATATTTTATCATAAAATTATGTTTATTTTTAATTTTTATATAAAATTACGATTTGATAAAAAATGTTCATGTCTTTTGATTAACAATTAAAAATGGACAATGGTTGTTATGAATATTAATGTTGCCATCACCTATAAATACTTTAATAATTTGCCACTGAAGCTATAGCACCACTTGAAATACGTCATAGCGTATGTAGTTTGTGGATTGTATTATTATAGAAAATACAGTACCTATAATTCTGAAGGTTTATTTTATAATAAAAATAAAAATACCTATAATCATAGTAATTATTTAGTTCAATACTCACAATTTAAGTAGTCAATATAAGTTCGTATAACAAATATGCAACTATATATTACGTACCATTATTATATATATTGTATATTGCAAATATAAGTGATAAGTATATACATATACATTTTTATAAAGATATAAATAAGTATTTAAAATTGATAAAATACAAATTGTCTAAACCACAAAAAATTATAAGTACAGAATATTTAAATATTCTTATTTCAACACCTGAACAGGTAAAGTCAAAGTCCGGAGGTTTATATATTATGCAATAATGCGTAATTGATAAAATACGATTTTATGAGTAATATTGTATATTTATATGCATAATGTATTATTATAACCGTAGTCACCATTTTTTTCGAACAACATATTATAAGAGAACGCCAAAGGGAAAAGAACGTCTCACTTCCTATTCGGATGGCATCAATAGCTGATCGACGATAATATTGACAGTAAATATTAAATGTACAGTGGAGTTTGAAAAAAAAAAAAATAATAACAATATCATAAAATATCCGCCCTTTGTCCGGTTTCTTCTAGTGTATTTCCACGCGACAACAATGCGGCAAATGGCAATACTTATAATATTCATGTGTGTGTGTGTGTGTGTGTGTGTGGGCATATGTATACGGAAAAGCAAACACAGAGGACGGGATTTAAGTATAGTAAAGGGTTCGACGTACAGTATAGTTGTACATAGAGTACACGTTTATGTACACACGCGTTACACACACACACACACACACACATAATATTATATATACATCACGCGTGTCGCAAATTTACCGGGCATTAAGTCTCGGCGAGTCTCCGGCAATTTTTCAAAACTCAAACCCTTTTTTTCTCTCCGACGACGCCGCGTCCCGAACAAACATACGTTTGTACATCGCATAATGTACATAATAATATGCACGTATGTATATATATATATATATGTGTGTGTGTGTTTTATAATATGCGCGTCGAACGGTATAAAAAAACAACACCGCGAGGGGACACGCGTTTCCGATGGCAATCGGTCGGTCGGTCGGTCGTTCGTCGGATATTATTATTATTATTATTATTATTATGAATTATGATATCACAAACCTCGAGAACGGATTAGGATGTAGGGCTTCTCGCACCGCTGACGTGCATCTGCTTAAAGCGAACGTTCTTCAAATCGTATAAATTATAAAATATATATGCGCACGGACACGTTACGCCAAATATAATGCGCGGGACCCTCGCGCCGACGACGCTGCAGTATAACGACAATGGGTAGGTACGTGATAATGACTGTCAACGGCGTTTCTCGCTGTTTATTGACGCCGCCGCCGCTGCCGCCGTGTTTGTATTATTATTATTTATAATCGTAACTGTTGCAGTGCGCTAGTGTTCCACATTAAACTATGAACGATTCCTGATCATCGACGTAATCGTTTTTCAAAAGGGATTTTATTCATCCTATAGCTATCTATTGTCGTGTATTATAACATTATACTGTTCCGGATCATTACAAGTATAATGTGTGTCTAAAATAACAGCATACATTATCGTCTCCAACTCGCATGTAATTATATAACTGTGTACACGCTATATATATGTACAGATTTTACTATAAATGAATAGATACGTGCAACCTCGGACAGTATAATAAAACGCATACATGATAAGTCAAATTTCTGTGAGTTGATAAATTACGACGAATCTAATGGAAATATATATATATATATATATTTTTAACTTTTATGATATTATATTCGTTTTTATCAGTATTCAAATATTTCAAATCTCAATTATCTATAATAATTATTGTTGTTATCAATTTGATTTCCTATTATAGTGTATTGTAGATGACAGCTATGCGTGCAACAAAGACCACATTTTCGGAGGCTGTCATATTCATATTATTTCATTGTTGAGATTTCCCATACATCTCTCTACCAAGTTAATATTATATTATTATTTATAAGTCAATGATAAATATAAATTTACAATAATAAACATACACTAATACATAATTATATTTTGGTGAGCAAATGTAACGAAATATCAAAACAAATTGCCTTTCTTTTAAATTATATGTTTCCAATAGATTTATTTGTATTATTTGTAGTAGGTACACCACTATATGGTTGTTCTTTAATCGCTCGTTAAATGAATAGCTGTCCCAAATACCATTCTAAATCACATTTTCTCTAGAACTTTCTCATTTTGCAAATGTACTTATTAAACTAATTTTTATCCTCCTTTCGATGTAATGGAATACAATCGATTTTCCGCGTTGCTTATGGTTTACTTTCGCAGTAAAAAAAATTGTTGGGAGTAAGAAAAAATGCAAAAACATCTCATAATCACTTGTCCGACATCTCTGAAGATTAGAACTTATACGACGCTAGATTCATAGCTACTCGTTAAAGGGATAATAGGATTTAGTAAACAGTTTTTGATCAAAACGTCGTGTAAAGCTACTCATGAAAAGTAAGCGAACGCATTCGTTTGTAAATTTCGATCGATCCTCGGAAAAAATGATAGTAAACGAATGAGTGGTTATCAGTTCATAAGGTTTATCACTGCAATCGTTTTCAACTCTTATAAGACATCGGCTCCATCGCCAAACTCTTTCACTACGCGTTTAAAACAAAAAATGTTCTCAAAACACAGCCGCGACCTCATACTAATAATATCGACGATATTTTAATATTGTAATTTTATTCAGAAATCCAGACGACGACGATAGCCGATGACAGCGCCTGCACCGCCACCGTCGTCGCTGCCGC